GCAGGAGTCTCAGGGAGCAGCTCCAAGGCAGAGGGCAGGAGCGGCACATGGCAGTGGGGGGGAGGGTGGGGGGAAGGGACAACTGCAATTGCTTGCCTGCTGGGCAGCTGCTGCACAGGGAACTTAGGGGAGTGGGGAGCTGATAAGAGGGCTGCCGGTCCACCCTGGTTCCAAGCCCCCACCAGCTAGCTACAACAGGCTGCTCTTCCTGCAGCAGTAGACAAAGCAGGCAGCTGCCAAAGACATTAGAAGGGAGCATTACACAACTTTAAATGAGCATGTTCCCTAATTGCTCAGCAACTTAACAACAAAACAACGTTAACTGAGGAGTTACTGTACCTAAAAGGTACTGAACACTAGAGATACCAGAACACTCTGATACTTGCACATTCCACGCAGATTAAAAGGACAGGGAGAAAAGGGGAATATGATGGATAGAGTTGTTTTGTTCGAACCAACACATACAAGGTGAGAGGCGGCACCTTACTGCGTGGAGGGGTTGCACCTTGCTATGCAGAGGGGTTGCACCTCAATACATCAGGAGTGATGTGTTACTTGTTTGTACCTGTGTATAAGAATGCACCCCTGAGCGGATATCTTTGTCCGGCCTAGGGGGCAATGGAAAGTCCCGCCACTGACTGAGCCGGTCCATTGTCAGAGAGCACATATGTACTAGCAGAACCATAGCTATCTAATCCGGGGAGCTAGAGACTGTGTTCCTCTTCGACAATAAACCTGGCCGGGTGCCTTCGTACCTTACTAGAGTCTGTGGTCATTGGGGGTTCTCTCGGGGGTCTGCTGTGTCAGTGATCTGCGCAGAGCCAGGGCAGCACAGAGAGGGAACACATGCACACAGCCGAATGTTATCAACATTGAAGAGAGCAGAGCACCACACCGGTAGCTTCTGACGACAGGTGCAACATACATTTCCAACAGCCCCATTTCCCAGCTCTATCATCTTTCATTCTAAACAGAAAACACCCTCTGTCCAAAACTGCCACAAATGGGTGGGGCACAGCAGTGTAAAAAACAAACCAACCAACAACTTCCTCTAGTGGCATAGAAAAGGAATGCCAGCACAGGCATTTAATCTTAGTCTGACTCGAATGGTTTTCAGTGGTGGGGGGAATGTTCAGTTCTAATAAATAATAATTTGTCCTTCTCTTAGAGGATCTCAAAATGCTTTACAAACACTACTCCATCCTCTCCCAAGTCCCTCCGAGGTAGCTGATAGTATGACCCAACTTTACAGCCAGAGAAACTGAAATACTGATGGGGGGAACTGGCTCACCCAAAGTCATACAACTAATTGGTGGCAGAGCTGGAAACAGAACCCAGGAGTCCTGATCCAGAGTCAACTTATCTTCTCTAACCTGTAAAAAACACTCCCTGCCTTTACAGCCAAATGTGGGTGTAAGCCCTTGATTTTTCGCCTCTCCCTTTTTGACAATGGGCCTGGTATTCATTATATCCACACTGGATGGTGTCAGCTGCCATGATGTGAAAATCCCCTTCCAGATCTATTCTCCCTAGTACGCTTAAATTGTTCCATCTGTTCTAATCGAAGGAAAGAACAATCTGACCCCTTCTTACCTTCACCCTAGTATAAATAATGTGTCTTGCCAAAAGATACTACAACTACATTTCTTTCTACTCAAAATGGGTCAAACAAAAAAACAAGAACTTTCCAAGCTGCTTTGCTGCAATTTCCCCAGTAAGACTCAACATGCAGATAATGAGGCCCCAGTAGATGGGGCTACAAAATGCTGTGATCAGCAGAGAAGAACATGGGCAACCTCATACCTTGTTTATTTCTTCATCATACTCATCACTGCTGTTATCAGCCATATTTTTGAGCTGTGGGCGTGTGGACCTAGGACCTGTTGAAGAGATCACCAAGAAGGTATGTTACCCAAGTTTGGGTTGTGGGATTGCAGCATGGATTGTCACATTGAGGCACTTACAAATGAAGCCCTATCTAAACAGACCTTACACCCAAGTTTAACAATCATGCTTACTCACAATTTCAACATGCTTTGGCTGAACTAGAATATAATGCCCCCTGGCCCTGGTGGAGAAGCTCAAATCCATGTTAAACCAACCATGTCCTAGATGCAGACCTAGATTTCAGTGACAATCTGATCTCACTAGCTTTTTTGCAATGAGCACATTACATTAATAAAAATTTGGGAATGTATTCTATTTTACCAATGAATCTGCTCACACTCCAATTTTATGGAGAAGACTTAAATCCCCTCAGGGTATTTTTAAGAAAATATAATTATCAAAATCAAGTTGCCAATAGCATACCTGAGATTGGTCAACATTTTAATTTTAAGGAAAGAAACAAACTGTTTTAGTAGGAAAGATAGAAACAGGATGTGAAGTTAGACTTTCCCCTACCTAGCTGCCGTGGAGTTGGAGTGTAGATACTGGCAACCTCTTCTGAGTCGTTAATCTCTAGACTCTCATCATAGGGCTGGTTTTCAACTATTTTGGTCTAATAAGAAACACAAACACTTTCGGATGACGTTTACAGGGAAGAACACTTTCTCCTTCCCGTTACTGAGTGCGGGCTCTCCCTAGTTAATGACTGCAAAGCACTTTAAAGATAAAAAGCCTCTTAAATGCTGCCAATGTTAACGGCCCAATCTTCCGCTGTGGGTGCCTCCAGGGACGGTCCCAATGCTGCACGTGGGGGCTCCGGGGTAGTCGGGCGTTTAGGGACCCAGAAGCCCAGCACGGCCAGGGCCCCGGACACCACTGGCAGGGTCGCCCCGCAGGCCCGGGGCTGGCATCACACCGAACGCCACCCGCGACTGTTTCACTCCCCACGCGCCCGCCTGCGGCCCGCGGAAGACTCGGGTCCCGCTCCGGGCACCGTGTGCGGCGCTCAGGCGGCCGAGGGCCTTTCCCCGGCGCTGCCGGGCTCCCTCCCCTCCGCCGCGCCGCCTCCCCCCACAGGCTGGCGCTCGGACACCTGCAGGGCCTCCGCCATGTCCCGGCCTTTCAGGGCGCTGCCCGCCGCCCGGACGCCATCTTCGCCTGGCCCAGCGTGTGTACCGTCACCCTGGAGATTGGCGAGTAACTCTCGCGAGAACTTGCAGCCCCAGCTCTATGGTTTTCCGGTGACCGGATCGGCTCACCCAGAACCACGTCGACAGTCTCGCCCCCCCTAGTGTCTATGGTTATGGGGAAGCTTTGAGCAGCGGCCCCTAGCGGCTGAACAGCTTCAGGGCAAGAAAAGAGTAGACGGCACGTAGGGTTTTATTTCTCCAGTCCCATGCACAGCTCCAACTCTGTTCTAGATCGGGTTGGATTGATCTAGCGCAGGCTCACCCCTCCCAACGCAGGGTGAAAAGGGCCGAGCTGTTCTAGTTCGAGCTAGATGGGTTTACAGCACCGCAAACTCCCATCATCTGAATGCAGGAAGGATGGGAAATGGGCTGCATTGTTCTAGAATGGACTAGACTGACTCCGAGCAAAGCGAATCCTTCTAACTCCTCTAAGACTACAAGGCCAGGGGATCTTTCTAATCTGTCTCAATTTGCGGAGTGCACTTCAAATCCTCCATCAGCCTGTCTGAGAAGGAAAGTGCTGTAGCCATGCGAGTGGCAGGATATTACAAAAAGAGGGTGGGCCAGGTAACATCTTTTACTGGACTAACGTCTGTTGGTGAGCAAGTCAAGCTCTGGAGTTTACGCAGAGCTCTTCTTCGGGCCACGCAGAGCTCTGTGTAAGCTCAAAAGCGTGTCTCTCTTACCAACAGCAGTTGGTCCAATAAAAAAATATGACCTCACGCACCTTGTCTCTCTGGGAAGGCAAAGGCAGGGATCAGGTTTGCTCTACATCAGTAGTTTTCACTCTGAGGGCCATGGATGGAGACAGCAGGGGCAGGATAGTCAGGGCAGAAACTCTCTTACTATGCGCAGTCTCCAGATGGACATGCCCGGACTAGTCTGTGCTCTAGATCAATCTAAACCAAACTGGGTGGCAGGGACAGGCCCTCACTCCACGTCCTAGGCCCTGCACAGCGCTCCATAGGGGTCAGCCCGCCTGCTGGGGGCATCTCCCAGAGCGGCCGGGGGCGGGAGCTGTGGAAAGACACGTTCTAGAGCAATTGGATCTAGACCTTCCCCAGCCCCCAAACAGGCGGGGAGGGGGCCGATCAGACAGCAGCCCCCGAGGCACCTGGGGCTGGCAGGGGGCTCAGAGGCGGCCCCCACGCCGGGGAGGCGGCGCGAGTCTCCCCACAGAGGGACAGGGCGCTCGGGGGGAGGGGCAAGGCGGAAGGGCCCAGACCGGCGCCCCCTACCGAGGCGGGGAAGAGCAGGACGCTCCCGCCCCCTTGCGTGGCGCCGCTTCCGGCTGGGGACGTGGCTCGGCGCCGCCATCTTGTGGGGCAGCTGGAGGGAGACGCGGCGGCCGCTGCCGAGGCAGCGAGAGACTGAGCGCGCCGGGCCGCACACACGCTCCGCCGCCATGGTAAGGACCAGGCCGCCTCCCCAGCCTGGCCTCCCGGGTAGCGGGCACTCGGAGGGCTGGGGCCGGCCGGGGGACACGAGGGGAGGAGCTGGGCCCAGCCCCGAAAAAAGGGGGCACCAGGCCTCTTCGTGCCCCTTCCTAGCGCCTTGCCGCGGGGCCGCTCCGTGGAAACAGGCCGGTCCACTCACCCGAAGCCCCGAGCCTCCCCACCGGCTTGTGTCTCGCTGTCGCTGCAGCCGTGGTTCTCAGACCCTCGCATGGGCCTGCCCCTGTCTGGCCCGCCCTGCGCCCTAGCAGCGGCGGGTGCCTTTCCCCGGTACAGCCAGCGGTCCCCTGCGTGTTCATTGCACGCATCCGGGACATGCTGTCGTGCTTGCCCACCTGGGACTGGTCCTCAGAGGAAACGGGGCCTGGGTACACCTGTGCCCCCTTGCGAAGCAGCCCTCTGCAGGGTTCCCAGACCTTCCTGGAACCAGCCCCAGTGTAACGGAGTGTCTTGGGGCACTCTGCCTCCGGTTCTGCATGGTGCAGACCTCCACTCCCATTCTTCATCACATAAGACCTCTGCAGCAACGACAATAGCTGCTTACAAGGAAAATTAAACTAGTATGGTTTGGATCTCAATCTAATTTGACAGCTGAAAACAAGGAGGACCAGTTACCAGCAAGTGCCTGTGGCCCGGAGTTTGAGAACTTCTGGTTGGAGCACAGGGTTTGGAGTCAGGATTCTTGTAGTCTTCTTCCCATTGCTGTCTCTCAGAGTGAACTTTGGCATGCTGTTTTGCCTCTGTATATTTGTTTCCCCACCTATAATCTGGGACTAATGGTACTGATGTGAGAGTACTGAAAATATTGAGTAAAGCAGTTAGCACTTTTCAACTATGAAATCTATGGAAATGCAAAATATTGCACCCTGCAATACATGAGACAAATGGACTATGTGTATATATGCATATATAAGATCATGATGCATACATTTGATTAAAATTGGCTGTTTGAATTACGGTATTACCATATACGCTTTTTTTAAAGTACTGTACAGGCAATAGCAACCCTGTGATGTAGATGTTCTCAGTTTTAGGTTGGTAAAATTTGAGATACAGAGCAGTTAAATGGTTTGCACAAAATCACATGAATCAATGACAGGTCTGGGAAAATAATTCATTTGTCCTTACAATCCTGTCCTCAGATCCCTGTCCTTATAGAAAATGCACTTATGTTGGTTTCTTTATATAGTCCATGGCCAAGGTTTTCAAAACTAAACACTGACTTTTAGTTCCCAACTGGAGATAACCATTCTCTGAAAATAAGGTATTTCGCACTTTCTGAAAATCGGGTTCCTTTAAGCCATGGCAAATTGGGCATGCAGATAGTGCCATAGTTTAATATTAATCCAGAGTTTGTACAAACATGAAAGAAGAGCTACATGATCTATATATGAACTTAGATCTATACAAATTGTTACTAATCTTGCTTCATGCAAGGGATTTGAAACTGATAGGCAGTTATTTTATTCTCTTTTTATGAACTCAGGTATTGTAGCTATTTATATTGTAAAGAGGCTAGCTTGGCTCCTAATTGCAGTAAATTACATTTCACTCTCCTTCCTTTGTAGTAGCATGGCTTGTACACAATTTCAAGCGTGTGTTTTTTATCGCCAAAGATAGTGTGTAATTTGCTTACATTGCTCAATAAATTAGTAAATGGATTTAAAACCGTTTCATACCCTGTTGGAGGTGGTGAAACATCTTGGATTTGATCAGAGAAAATATTTTTAATTACAACTTGTTAAATGAACTAGAGGAAAATTTGACAAGTCATGACAATCTAGCAAGCAAAGTGCAGCATGAGATAATATACACAAAAGGACAGCTTAATTTAAAAGGACATTAACTTTTGGGATTTCTCCTTTGAATAATTATTCTTCCCTCAAGCTATTTTTGTGATCTTTGAAGTTAATGGGAAAAAATATTTGTACTAAGGGCAAAAAAAAATTGAAGTAATTTGAACCTTTTCTTAGTAAGCAAAATGTGTATTGCATCAAAATCAAGTGCTGTATAACTTAATCCTTGTTTCAGGTTCATAGATCGTAACTTAATCCCTGTTTCAGGTTCATAGATCGTATCAAATCCTTTCTATTCAAATATTGGGTAGTGACTGAGTATTAGTTTGATATAATTTTTCACTATTCACAGTTCACAGCTCCTTCTACAAGGAATTGCTTTGCTATAACCTTTTATTGCTGGGAAAATGCTGTACTTAATTTAGTGAAGCTAAGAACAATGTACTTTTAAAACAAGTTCCAAACCAAGAATACCTAGTTTAACTTTTGTCCTCTATCCAAAGGCATTGTTTGCATAGCACAATAGGGATTTTAAGTACCTTTAAAAAGGCTTATCCCTTTCACAAATTAGTAGTCTGAAAAGAATTGTTATGGCAGGTTGAAAATTTATCTTACTTTTTTAAACGTGTGTGTCATGTGCTCTCTCCACCCAGAAGATACTGTCCTCTCAGTAACAAAATTGTCAATTAATAAATGGAGCCATCCTTCTAAAACCTAGTTGAATATTCGAGTGGCACATTTGCAGTATTAGTTAAATCTAATAAAAGAAATCCAAACAACTGAATCTGGTGTTTGCTAATGTATTCTGTCTTTAAGTACAAACAAGATTTGTAAGCTGCCATATGTAATAGTTCAGCATAGCTTTGGTTATCAATAGGAATTTCTTGAAATATTTGATCTAGTAGCCTTAGATTACTCAGATCACTGGGAAATTTAATATGGTAAAACAGTATTTTCATACTCTAGATCCTTGCAGAGTAGAGACTGAGAATACTGTTAACTTTTCTGAATCGCCTCTCTTGACATGCTTATCAAAGTGCTATGTACATCAAATCAACACTAACAGGCCAATGTCTAAAGCCACATGGTGTGACTGAACAGTGGAATATGCTCAAACCTGACACACACCCTTTTTACAGTCCTATAAGCTGTTCTGTCTGGGTTGTCAATGATTGGGATGAAGCAATGACACATCATCAGCCTTTGCTTCCAAAGTGATAGCTCTTGAGTCAGAGGTATAGTGTCAATTACAGGATCTGTGGTACCTTATAAGCATACAATAACCTGTGACTAGTCCCTTAGGTAAACTTATGTTAAATGCCTGTACAGTTTAAAGGCCTTTTAAGAATATTAAGGCTGTCTTTAGTGTAACCTCATGATTTCTTTTGTGTGTGTGTTTACTGTCTCATTCAAGTGATAGTCAGTCAGACTCAGCCATCCTAGGAAAGTTGAAGGCTGTAAGCATTTCATTATTACAATCCTGTCCTTGCTTTCCATTCACAATCCTTTGCTTCATCTGATGGGAGATCCCATCTCCACAAAGGCTGCCAGTCCCTCATACAGAAGTGCCCCTTTAAAGAGGGGCATTACCTGTGAGTGATGCAGTAAGTATGCTTGGTGCATCTGGACTGTCCAGCACCATGCTCTGAGTCCCTACTAGGCAATGGTTCGAGCCTGAGGCTCACTTCTAACCTGTGCATATCATGGATTTGCATTACTCTCTGAGTTGTTGGACTAATGTAAGGACATTGCTGTCTGGATGGGATATAATCAGTTTAATCAAGGCATACAAGTATTATATCCACTATGAAT